GGGAGAGATTAAAAGTCAATTAAAATTGAAAATATGGCCGTTATTGGGTCCCACTCGTCTAATAAAAGTCAACAATAACGGCTATATTTTCAATTTTAATCCGATTTTAATCCCTCCCATACAAGACCTTAGTATAAAATGCTCTCCAACGAGGGACCAAAGATAGTGTAAATTTTGGTGCAGATGTTACACCAAACACACTTCATTTACACTAAATTTGAGAATTTTTAATAATCCCCATTTTGCTCTCCATTCCCCTTTACAACAAATGTTTATTCCATCTATATTTATTTTTTATATTTTAAAATTAATAGATTTCATTGATTTATAATTATTTTAATGTGATGTTCATTTTTATTTAACATTTATTTTTTAATTCTAATCAAGTCATAAATAATAATTATTGATACAATAATTTTCATTAAAAAATTATTTTTTAATTTATTAATAAATATAATATTTTAGTTCATTAAATATAAATTTTAATTTAACGATTTTAGTAATAATCTAATTTTTAATTAAATAATTTAAAATAAAATTCGATATAAAACCATCTCCAATAATCTACACCAAATTTGGTGAAATCATTGGAGATGTTATACTAAATTACACCAATTTTTGGTGTTCCTCATTGGAGGTACCCTTATTACTTAATTAATTTATGGTGGTTATTTTGTGATTAAAATATTTAGATTTTGTTTGTCATTTTATTTCTCATTTTTAGAGGAAATTAGATCATTGCTGGCCCCACCGGCCTTTTTTTGACTGGCCTTTCACATTGTGGGTGAGTTGCAGACTTCAACGGTGAAAAAAACTCATTATAATACGGAAAAAATGGGAAACAAACATGTACTTAATATAGACAACAACTAGCCCCCTATTTGATGGCCATTCTTATATAAAAAAAGAGTTTTGAATAGTGTTTTAGAAGAATGTGTGATTAAAAGGTAAAGAATTTTTTTTTTAGATTTACGTATGAAATATTTCATTATATAAATATTTGGTTGAAAATGATTCTTTAAAAATAAATGTTTCAAAAAAATATGAATCAAACATGGGCCAAGTTGTGATGTTGGAGAAATAAGTCAGGAGAGTATGCCAATTATTAGCACTCAGGGCCTCGTCTAACCTTGTACTTTTTGAGGAGATTTTTTTGGAGAAAGTTAGGAAAAATATTCAAAAAATTATTCAAATATGTTTATAAAAAATTTTATAAGTTTAGAAGTAGTTTTTTGGACTTTTCAAAAATTCTAAACCTCAATAGTTGGGTTACACCTAATCCCCTATGACAAGACTATCAATTTTAATTAAATAATCATGTGACATTGAGTAACTTTAAATAGTCTAGTTTGACTCGATTAAATTCCTGTAAAATCAATTTGATAAATGAAACATTAACTTCATTAAAATGTTCGAAATCTTATTCACTTCTACCTTTGAACTTCTGTTCAAATTGTTTGAGTGATTCATTTCAACTAAACAAAAGTCTTTTTAAACAGAACTTGATACATGATATTTTAAGGTTTGTAGATTTCTGTTTTTGCTTTTACTTCTTGTAGAAGAACTTTATGAGGAAACTACGTTATGCTAACTTTCTATAAAATCTCTTCTAGCCAGATAAATCATTTCTAAAAAATATTCAAATATGTTTATAGCAGTTTTTGACTTATCAAAAATCTCATCAAATGAGCCCTTGATAGATTGATGCCAGAACATAGAATTATTATTTGAACTCAACTCGAATTTGAGTAGCTTTTAGACCCAACTAGGTTCAATCGAGATGGGCTTTTTCGAGTTTTCTAATTGTGCTAGGCTCATACCATACTAATATTAGTTGTTTGGCAGGCTATTCCCACTCATGGAGTTGCTTCTGGCATGAATGCTGTGGAGGGTGTTGTAATGGAGATTGTCATCACTTTTGCTTTAGTCTACACAGTCTATGCCACTGCTGCAGACCCCAAAAAGGGCTCATTGGGCATAATTGCACCCATTGCAATTGGGTTCATTGTTGGTGCAAACATTTTAGCTGTTGGACCATTTAGTGGTGGATCGATGAACCCGGCCCGATCATTTGGGCCGGTTGTTGCTGCTGGAGACTTTTCTCAGAACTGGATCTATTGGGTCGGCCCACTTATTGGGGGAGGATTGGCTGGCCTGGTATATGGTGATGTTTTTAGTGGTAATTACATGTAACCCTACTTTTCAAGATTCAAATTCATAAATCAGATTTCAAGTTTTAA